TTCAAACAGATATACGTAAATATAATATTGATGGATGCTGGTATATTTGCGTTGTAAACTGGATACCTATGACTAAATTTCATTTCTTTGCCACTCCCTTGACTGGCTAAGATGCACAATATCTCGGGAGATTGCTACTTGTGAATATACGTTTTCTTATATATGATCGATTCTATATGTTAGTAAAAGATGATTATTTTATCCATATTGTAGTTTGTCAATCGCATTTATGTTTCCCAATTCAATTTTTAAATAGCCGGAGTGTTTATATGTTCACTTAAAGTTGCATAGAACTACTATGAGTTCCGTTTCAGTTTGCTTATAGGGCTTCTCTGTTCGGGACTATACCACTAACATGCCGTATAACCTACTGATAGACCGGACAGACGAAGCGACCCACAAGCGTCGACACGCGATAGATACACATACACACCTAAGCCCAATGAGACATCCGAATAAGCGAACGAAGACATGCCTTACAACAGGCAGCGAGATGAAGATGGGCACAAACACGGCTGTGGAAACGCACTCTCCGGGTAGGATACGTGATCCTTCACACAGTCTGAACAGTGGCCGAGGCGTGTCCAGTCCCTTGAAGACTACCACCTATACACAGGGGAGGGGTGTCCTGAGCAGGGCACCTGCACCTCAAGATGCAGACGATACGACCGCAAGAAAAGGGCAGGCACTGACCAGCAGCCCGTTTGCCCCGGCATTGACCGGCAGTCCGTTATCCGCGAGAACGAGGACAGGCACTTCTAAGCCATCGGACCGAAGTCTTGGTTGCAGCACCACACCGGGTGGTAGACAAAGTGATGGACGGCCCAGGAATAGCTTGAGCGCGCATGGGAACAACAAGGGAAACCTTACACAACACTCTCCCAACCCAGTACTAACCACCCAAAACAACACGACGACTACCACCACCCCTACCCCTACCACCAAGCCACGCAGCGACAGCGGCGTAGCAGTCAACGGCGGTGCGGCAGGGCAGGCTGGTGTGGACTATAGAGCTCGAGCGAGCGATAACAAGCGAAAAGGGACAGCTGTGGCACACCCCAGGTGTACGACCAAGGCCAAGGCAACACCGGCAGATGTTAATAGGCAGACACGGCAGGTGAACACACTCATAGGAGCGCCAAGGGACGCAGTCAGCAGTACAGCACAGAGACGTGTGCATGTAAGTGGTTGCCTGTGGCTGTCCCGTGTTTGCAGTGTTGGTGTCACGTCTGCACCCGAGGTGAGGTGTGTCTCTGTCTACTTGTGCGTGACTTCTCGTGTGCTCTTGTGAGACTACCGTGTGTGTGTGCATTTAATTCAACTATACACCAGGCCTTAGCTTTATACATGCATAAGCACGCCAGTGGTGCTTGGTTTGTTGTTTGTGCGTGGGGGTGAGTACCACACACGCATAACTTCAATAGACTCGTGCGTTGTGTAGAGACTACGATCTGTTCGTTGCATAGAGGGCACTACGCAGGTTTAACGTTCTTAGGTTTGAATTTTACGGGATGGTATTAGATACTATTATTAGGTTTTATCATCGGAATTGTGTCTTATAGCCAGAGTTGTGTCTATTGCGTCACTAGTAGGTTTAGGTATAAGTGGTGAGATCAGTTCCTTGTACAAAGACGTGTGGCAAACCTGGTTGACAGGTGTGCGCATAAACCGCAGCGTGCCTGTATTACGTTAAGCGGTAGTCTACTATCCATTCAAACGTAGTTTATCCCGAGAACTATTGCCCCAACTCCAGTATAAAATCAGCGTATGGGAAATCTAGCCTATATCAACAGGCTGGAGGTATGTGTAATTGGGACGCATACAGGTCTCAAGGTATGGCCCCCTCCTCATTAATATGGGCTGCATATAGTTCACGCCCAGCCGAGTGGTGAGTCATCGTCTGCTTTGCTTATTCCCAAATAAACACATGATTCGCCACAACAGCTAACCCCGGAGCAGCGTGCAGTGGTGGGCCGTTTGAAGCGACCGGGGCAAGCGGTTCCTGGAGGCGAGATCTTGATAGTCAACTCATGTGCCGGCAGCGGGAAAGTGAGTAGGAGATATATACCATAACTTTGATTCTTATTTCCTTGGACGGATACTAGTTGTGTTTTGTGTCGAGGTGTGCTTTGCTTTGTTTCATGTCACTCTCGATGATACGTGTTGTGCTCGTTGTAGTGTATGCGTGTGGTCTGTGGTTGTAATCTCGTTCATCGGTGCGGGTGTACATCTATGCACACGTTACTTACGCTACCCCGCACCCCCTCCACAGACCACCACACTCGTGGAAGTGGTTGTCCATGTCTCCCATCACACTTACACACACAGTTACTTTACTTACACTACCCCTCACCCCCTCCACAGACCACCACACTCGTGGAAGTGGTTGTCCATGCGCTTGTCATAGGCCACACAGGCGTGCGCGTGTGTTCGTTCTCTAAAGCGGCGAAGATTGAGTTTGAGGGGCGTCTCCTGGCCAGAAACGCACCCCATCATATATCCCTTACAACGCACAGCATAGCTATGCGTGCACTCGGATTGCAGCAGAACGGCACAGCCACCTCTATTATTACGGACGATGGCAGGCTTAACAAGAAGATAGGTATGGGTATGACTTAGTATGGGCAGGTGAACATGGTAGTGGCTACTGTAAGGGTTGTGTGTAGCATGGTAGTGGTTACTGTAGGAGTTGTATGGAGTCTGCGTGTTGCTAACGAAGGGAGAAGTGAGGTCTTTGATTCCGTTTGGTTTATTGTTCGATGGTACGTCCACTCGCTATAGAACTACATGTGTGCTCACTTAATGGACAGCCGCACAGTCCTTCCGTTGGTATGGAACGGCGCTGCATAGCGAATAGGTCTGTGCACTCTGCTATATCGTTAATTGTTTGTTGTAGGTTTGAATTGGAAGTTTGAGTTCGTTGTTATAGTTTTGAATTAAATGTTATAAGTTTGAATTAGTTGTTACTATGTTCAATTGTTGCTAAAAGTTTGAATTAGTTGTTGTAAGTTTGTATGGTTGAATAAGGGAAGTCCTTTTGATAGTCGAATGCTTATTCCGCACAATCGATGCATCGATACGAAGTCAATTCTGAATATTCAATGGGCTAGGAACTATAAAGTCTGGCTATAATATGAAAACGGCAGGTGCCAAAAGATACCCCAAAAGACCCCCCAAAAGACCCCCGCTGTAGAGGTTAAGTTTTACGTAGTGTATTAAAAACGGATGTATCTGTCAAGACCTGTCTAGGAATTTGAATGGTTTGCCAAAGCACTTTGTGGAGTTCGCTAGCAAACCAACTAACAATTAACGTTTATTTCAATCTGTGTGCGATTAAATACAGAGTCCATCTGCAGTTCGAGGATAAGCTCATTCATCGCAAACATCGTGAAGAAGAAAGCCGCGGCCAAAAATACCGTCGTCACCTTTATCAGGAAAACGTTACAACAGTTCTTTCAGTCAGTGGATACCGAGGTCCAGCCCTATAAAGAGGCGCTTGACTACCACAAAACAAATAAATTAGGCCTACCCGTCAATCCGGGCAGGTTCTATGAGCAGGCCGCGGAAGACGTCTGGACGTACTGCGACTGCACCAAATTCGGGTTCAGGAATCAAATGAAATCGGGACGAATCTCGAATAATAATAACAGTAATAATAATAATAGTAATAATAATAAGGCGTCGGCTTGGAATTTCCATACGCACGACAGCTATATGAAATGTGCTCAGTTACAGCTGTTGCCCATAGACTGCAGTCTCCTGCTGGTAGACGAGAGCCAGGATTTAACTGCCTGTCAGATCGACTGGTTAGCCGGTCAGGCCCAGACACACAACATACAGATCTTCTTTGTGGGCGATGCCGCACAGGCCGTGATGGGCTTCAGAGGTGTGTCCGTTGAGGTCTGGTTGTGCATCTGTTAGTGTCTTTGTTAGTTTCTATGAGTGTCGCCGTTAGTGCCTTTGTTTGTACCTTTATAAGTTTTTTTATAGTGCCTTTGTACGGCAGTCGAGGTGATGTTGTGAGGTACATAAACGTATCGTACGGGAGCGTATAGTAGGAGTTTATACCAAACAGCATGCCTTGTGAGTGATAAAAACGTACTCTCTCTCCTCCCCCCCCCCCCACCCACCCCCTTGGTTCGGCCTATTAATTCTCATAGTCGTTGTAAGCTCGGCATCTGGTCGGATCTCAGATCTCGTATATCTCACCACCCTATCCTGTTTGGGTAGTTTGAGATGGTTTACTTCAGGTGTTAGGCCACCCTATGATTAGTATCTGTGGATCGTTGGGGGCTGTGGTTGGTTGTGCTGATAGTTGTGTGTCGTGAAGTGTACCCTTGTTCAATAGTGTAGGCTCCTGACTGGTGGTGTGGTTAACTCTGTGGCCTAGCCCATCGCCTTGAGAGTCTTTTTGTATAGTTGTATATCGCTTCTCATTTTTCTGGTATAGGGCACTTGGACTGTGTGAGGAGTGAATAAGCTGCCGGATATAGTCTCTGAGCCAGGCTGGTTATGACCCCCTCCCACGCAGTGTTTCAAGTGGATGCACAAGCACTCTATATACATCGACTTGATTGTTGAATGGCGTACAACTCCTCCGATGTTCATACTGCAGGGTTGTTCATACTGCAAGGTTCTTTATACTGTAGGGTTGTAGGGTTCCGTTGTAGGGTTGCTCATACTGTTGGGTTGTTCATACCGTAAGGTTCTTCATACTGTAGGGTTCTTCATGCTGTAGGGTGGTTCTTTACTTTAGGGTTGTTCATAGAATTCCGTTGCCCACTAGGCGTATTGTTCGATTCGTAACGGCGACTCTGACACCGATCCCTTCTCTTGCATCATATCGGCCCACACAGGAGGCAACCCCCGAGCCTTGATGTCTATCAAAGACCAGTACAGAAATGTCCACCAGCTGCACCTGACCCGTAGTTTTAGGTTCGGGCCCCAGATCGCCTTCGCCGCGAACCGGCTTCTGTTCATCAAACAGCACTCGCATCAGTGTGTACTCTTCGAGCCCTACCGCGTCGTGGGAGGGTCGCAGAATAAGCACCCACATGACGGAATAAGCCGCACCAGCCTGGTTGCGCAGCGGAAGTTCCCGTGTGCCGTGGTCACTCGCACCAACCTACAGATGGTCGAGGCCTACTTCGACATAGTCCAGGGCTTGTCCGAGGGGGAGACACTACGGTGGGCGGTGAGTGAGGGTACTGAGTCGACTTTGAAGAGGGCCGTGCGCGAGTGTCTGATGTTTGTGGACGTGTTTACGGAACACAAGGACTCGCTACCGCTGGGGATTTTCAGGGGGTATGTGGGACTGACCTGGGATCGGGTGCGAGAGACGGTCGAGGACAATGAGAATAACTGTGACTATAGCATGTATGTGAACTTTGTGACTGCGCATAAATATAATGCTGAGAGGCGGTTGCGGGAGTTTGTGCACATGATGGACAGGTGTGGTAGGGCCACCGGGGATTGGGACGTGAAGCTTATGACTATACACCAGGCGAAGGGCCGCGAGTGTGCCTACGTGGAGATCTTCGGCAACCTCATGGCTCTTGCCAAGTATGAGGTGGATGTGCTTGAGGACAAATCCGGTAGCGTAGATCCTGGCGATAAGTCCCGGAGATTCAACACCGCCAACGAGGCCAGGCACGGACTGGGCTTGGACCGGTGCCAGGCCAGATTTGCGTGTACAGTGGAGCAGAACGATGAGATTGACCTGTACTACACCGCAATAACTCGAGCCCAGAAGGAGGTGTTCGTGCCGGATTCTTTCTGGGGGGTCATGGAAGACATGGAGGAGCTTAGTGAGTTTGTGTACGGGTGCAAACAGGCTCAGGACGTGACTCGGAAGCTGGTGCTGCCCGGGGACAATAGAAAGGTTTGGACTATGGTCGAGGCCATGGCTTTGTACAGGGACATTTACCTACCCATGTTGCAAGATATGAGAGACACATGTTGTGCAATAACTGAGTGACGGGGTTGCCTGCACATGCCGCGGTGTTGTAGCCTTGCTGGCGATTGATGAGCTAAGTTGTATTCTCTATAGGATGGACTGCCCAATGCATACACACACACGTCCAAGCGTTCGTAAGTTGGGGCACGAAGCTGGATATTGTAATGGCCTAGTTGCACTGGTATCTAAGGAGGATGGCTTCTACTTTGCTCACGAACACGTATAACGGAAAGCCCGCTCCACGAAATCTGAACGAATAATGACAGTCAAGAAAGATGGTATTCTCGTGGGAATATGCCGTTACAGCTGTTTCGTAAAACCGTTTAAAGAACACAGCTGAATGTAGGAAAGCGAGTGGGAGATCAACTGCGTTGCGTGAAGTGCGCTGGGCAACCTGTACTGAGGCTCGTTATCTATCTACAACATCGTCCATAGCTCTAAATAGAGAATTGTAACAATCTTAAGACCAAACTTTCTTATACTGGGGTGGATATCATCAGCGGCAGTTGGATGTGCGCAGTTGGGTCTCATTATCCCTGTCTGTCGATGCCTGCATGCTGGACCTTAGGCGTCTCATTAGCCAGTCGAGTATAGTGTCTGGTCGATGCATGCATGCTGGACAACTCAGGGCTTAGTAGCCACCGTTTACAACTGGCACGCACGCGGTAGCTGGGCATCAGAGTCTCGGACAGTGCAGTGAGAGGTCGTGCTGGCGGATGAAGTTTTAACCGGAGTTTGGCTGGGACTGTTTGGCGCTGTAGTTTTGGCCTGCCCTCGTGGATGCGCCACTTTGAACGCCTTCAGAGTACGAGGCTGTGGCGTTGACGGGAAACACTACACGGCTGCGAGTAGCGATAGAATGAATCAGAAAGCAACCGTGAGCCTTCGGACAGACGCTGTGGTGCATGGAATTAGTGTCACTCGCGCGTGCCCACACAGCAGCATAAAGTCAAGCGGTGTCGCCCTAGACCACGCTGATTCGTGGAGAAGTAGTAAGGCAGAGGGTATATACTGCATGTTATTGTCGAGGCTTCTTGGCTGCACTAAACCAAAACGGCATCCTAGAAGTCACAGACGTATTTCTCCTCTAATGTACTACGATCGTCGACTACAATTTCATGGGGCTGTTTCAAAACTTGGTATTGAAGGATTGACCAAGAACCCTTCATAGAGATGAAAGCATTGATAATTCGAATAAAATCACGGAACAGGTCATAAAAAATTATTCGCTTTGTAAGAGGCATTTGTTAAATGCGACTTGCATTCTGAAGCGCGTTCACTTCCTCATACATGAATAAACATTTGGCCAC